TTTAAGTTTATTTTTAAAAAATATTTTCAATTTCAAAAATTATTTTCTACTCTAGTAAAAATAAAAGATATTTCTCAAAAATATTTTTCATTCATAAATCAAACACTAAAAATATTTTTCGGAAAATATTTTCTAATCACCAACCAAACATGAGAAAATAAGTCAAAAATCAACTTGTTTTCCAGGAAAACATTTTCTAGGAAATCATTTTCCATGGAAAACATTTTCCTTCATACCAAACACACCCCTCATCTTCACGATATTTAAAACTTTCGATGTTCACCACCTAAAGCCAGCAAATACAATTCTATTAGAGTTGATTTGCAATTGTAAACTTCATATGTGCAAAAGAAATATAAATAAATAAATAAAAGTACGAAAAAAGTATTAAATAGTCAAAGATCTTACGCTTCGGGGGCTATTTTGTACTATATCAACTGCTTCTTGATTGGAAAGATGTTCCCAGAGACCATCGGAAGCTAATATGAGAAATTGATCATGTGGTTCGAGTTCTTGAACAGTAATTGATGGATCAGAGCTCAATATGGGCCTTTTAAAAGGTTCACGCAACCGAAACTTTGCATACAACGGCTCCCTGTTGTATTCAGGCTTTTTAAGGTATATATCACCAATAGATCTCGAAATCTGCAAGATGAATTTAAAATTAAAACACAGATAAATAGCTTGGTGCCAGAAAGCAAGTAAATTCATTTCAATATTGTGCGGACTCCTTGTAGGTGTATAAAGCAGGATCTATCAAAAACAGGGAAAAGATCATAAATTGAATTAATAGCTCTTAATAAGAATATTAACTATCTCAACTCCAACAGCACAAAATAACCAAATAGGTATCAAGGGTGACATCTACATCTGTCACATATAATAACCAGAATGACAAAATATTGCCATAAATGGAATTGAAACAAAGAATTTCATGCACATAGTACAACTACAATTTAATCCAAACCACCCGGAAGAAACAAAGAATGGCCTTTCCTTTGACCTTTCTGGTCTTTAGCACATTATTGTAATAAACGATTCGTTCCAACACTTGACACGTGGCTGCTTGAAGTTGATACATGCACCATTACTCGGGTGACTAATTAAGTAGTGAAGTTCCTCTTGTTCTTTTTTTTTGTCTTTTCATGCATCTTCTACATCTATTTGGTTTGTATTGATCTGCCTTTTTCTTTTATTTTTGATAAGTGTGTCTCGTCCTGAATTTCCTTTTTTTGAAATGTTGTAATAGCATATCAGGTCAGTAAATGAACTTATCAACCATGGGGTTCGTGGATTTTCAGCCGAATTGTGTTTGGAAGAAATCTATCCTAGCTAGGAAAACAGGCAGACTCCTTTCCCACTACCAATAAAGAGCATAGGATAAGCGAGTCTTGCCATTCATATAATTCTCCATTCACCGATTGATCACACGAGTACACATCCAGTCAGCATAGCAAATGAGGAAATCAATTGTTGGTTAAATTGGCACTCCACCTTTTGATGGTTTAATAAGAATGATTTCCATTATCATGAATTAATGTGGAATATACAGAGTCTGATTGCACTTAAGAAAAAAGATGAGTGTTTGCTCCTCTGAATTGCAGAAAAAATTGCTAGAAACAGGACAAAAAATTGGTGGTGAGCAATAGATCAACCTATTACTTGAGTCATTGCAAACTACCATCCACCCCATAATAAAGGAAACAAATAGCGAAGCAAAAAGAGTTTCCAATATCAGACAATATAGGGAATGAAGGAAAGATTTTAACTTCTTCTGGTTCAAGGAATCTAAAATGCATATCTTCGTCAAAAGACAGCTAATAGAAGACGTGGCTCATAAATAACCTCCATGTATAATAAAATCTGATAGGATGCAGATAAAAGAGTGCAATAATTGTCCTTGTATTCATTGCTAAGACTACAGGACAGATGATGCATTAGCGACTGCATACAGTGTCCAATGAGTAACAACCTAATCCATCGACTATAAAATGTTTTGGACTCTAAAGACGATACTAACCATATGTTTCCCTCTGAATTAGTAGCAAGAATTAGAAACCATATAAGCTACTCTATCCGCAAATCACGAAACACGAGATATACCTGAATCAGACCCTTTACACGCCATACGTTATGCTTCAAAACCACTATCTGTGGGTCATCTGGATGCATTGAATGCAACTCCTGTCTGACAGTTTCGAAACATGCATTATGCTCAGCTGATAGCTGGATAGCAAGAACCTCCCCTGTAGCCCTCACAAGCCTTCCCAAAACAGCTCGGGAATCACCAAGGTTAGCCACATACAGGATACCATTACAGATCACCACTACCAGACAACAAGATCCCACAGCAGCCATCTGTGGTTTCATTGGCCATTGCTTTGCAACCACAGAACAGAATCCGTCTTCTGTAGCTTGAAATGCTTTCCGTATTACATCTACAGACATAGAATTTTGTTCTGCTGCAAACCCTACAAGAAAGTTGCAGACTAATTAATTCAAACTACAAATTTAAATGGCAAATAATCTAATATAGTAGATATTTAAAATTCTAAAAGGAATATACCCTTGCGTTTTCATTACAAAAAAATTTAATGAATAACATTTAACTAGTTTAACAACACCATTTGGAACTACAAACAGATTGATGCAATTCGATACTTGGCAAATGAGTACTTTGGTCAATAAAACAGGTCTAGTATGCTTACTCTTGAGATTCTGAAAGAGGTGATCATTGATATACCGTGATGTCTCCGGTCCACCATGACCATCATATATCCCAGCAAACGTTCCATAGGGGCCAGAATCAAGCAAGCTCAAAGAACCCGACTCGATCTGGCTTTGATCCTCCAGCAAATTATTAGCCTGTACAACTGCCATTGAGAACTCACCAATCAAGTGTTGACCACTATCCTTATACCAAAAAAGTCCATCTTGTCGTCCAGCTGCATCCGAACCAGCATGCACAGAATGATCCGACGATGGCCGCCAACAGGCCTTCAGGAAATTTATCAGCCTTGATAACATCCCTCATTTCATTTCACTTCTGCCTACCTCCAGTTGCTCAACACCAAAACAAAAAATGCAGCAACAGCCTCTAACTAAAAGCCTAATTATGTTATTATACTCTCTTATCCTGCAAACAGAAAAACAAGCATATAACAAGAACTTCAGCTATACAACTTACTTCAAGAACCACAGAACTGCAGAAAGATCATAGCTTTAACCAAGCAAACAACAACATACCCAGTATAGTCCCCACACGTGGGGGTCTGAGGAGGTTAGAGTGTACACACACCTTACCCCTACCTTGACAGGTAGAGAGGTTGTCTCTAATAGACCCTCAACTCAAAGAAAGCAATAAAGATCATAGCTTTAACCAATGATAAACAAATCTGTTCACAGAAAAATTCCAAAACCCAATTTCAACAACAGAGAATAAAATTAAGCATGACCCACAACCTAACAATTTCCAAGATCAGCAATGACATGAAGCAATCAACCCACTACAGTGCCTAACCACAACTAAGCAAAAAACCCACATCCCAAAATGAACAAAACAACATTAAAACAACACCCAAATCCTGAAAGAACACAAATCACATAAACTTCACAGCCCAAAACTAAATAAAAGCCACATCCCAAAATGAACAAAACAACACCAAAATCACATAAAGTTCACAACTTTAAGAATACCTGCTGAAAAAAAAAGAACAAGAAGACTTTGGTGGTGTAATTTAAGCCTTATTATACTATCTTTTTCTTTTCTTTTCTGGTCAGTTAACTGAATCCCTTCAACTGATAATGACTAAGATCTGAATAAAACATAACAATCCATGTGGGTCTGAAAGTGTTAGATCTATAGATCCATCAAAGCAGCCACTTTTATATAACCACAAAAACAAACAACTATACACAGTAAAGATTTGAGTCTTTTTTTTCCAGTTCTTGTTTCCTTTTTCTCTCTCTCTTGTTTTTTGGTAGTAAATAGGAAAGGGAAAAAAGAAAATTAAAAAAATTAAAGAGGAAACAAAGAGAAGAAGAAAAATATAAAAGTATAATAATGAAGAAAAAGGGGAACTGTCTAACCCTTTACCTGTGTGTGATTAAACCAACTGAAAGATCTCACACATACACACTCTCTCTTGTGTTTAGCAGTGGAAAAAACACAAGAGAGAGTGTAGGTGTGAGATCTTTCGATTGGTTTAATTAGAGACTTCGAATTCAAGATTATTATTAGTGATTCAATGTGGAGAATTGAAGATTTAAAAATGAAAATGAAAAAGAAAAAAATTATGTTAAAAGTATCACTTTCAGTAATGAGTCTTGCAACACAAATTCAGATTAATTAAAATCCTATATAAGTGTCATTAAAAAAAAAGTTGGTCCTTTATGTTTTGGTTAGGTAGGTTCAAAGTAATTAGTTTTAAATGTTTTTAAATAATTTTCATGGTAGGAATGAGTCAAAATTTAAAGTAAATAAAGTTGAGATATTAGTCTTTTTAAGTTATTAAATTTTAAATTAATAATATATTCAATGTTTGGAGGTGTAGTTTAAGCTATAATTTTTTAAAAATTTGATGCAATCTTTTAATATGCAATTTCTAATATATTTTTGGTGTTCAGTATATTTTTATGTTGTGGTTTCTAGGTTTTGATGAAAATTTTCTGATGTGTACTAAAATATTTGATGGAAATAAGAATACTAACTTTTTGTAAATTTAAAAGGATTAAATCATTCAATTATATATTTAAGGGGTTACTTTGAAATTATTACAGAACATTAAATAAAAATACATTTTTTTTACAACATATATGGCTTTTTATTTAGTAACTAAACAAAAGAAAAATACTTATATGTAAATATATGTAATTTAGTAAAATTTGGTCAGACCTAACTTTAAAGGCCAAATGATCGATATTCGTTGCATTTTCATTAATGAGATTTCTTTTTTGAGCATTTCAATGTCAAAAAATAGGAATTCAAATTTTAAGAATTTTTAGTTTGTATTAGTCTAGAGATTTTTTCGAAAATTAGTCGATCTCTATTAGACTTATTCAAACTTGGTTAGGCCTATTCTCACTCACAGGCCTACTGATCAATACTCATTGTGTTTTCATTGATGACGCCTCTTTTTCAGCGTTTTGGTGTCATGGAATAAAAATTCAAGATTTTAAATATTTTTCGTGTGTGTTAGTTCATTAATTTTCTGAAAATTAGTCGACTGACTTTGTTGGCCCCCAAACTTAGTTAGGCCTGGTGCCTAGTACTCATTACATTCTCATTAATAATTTCTCATTTTCAGTATTTTGATGTCATGAAATAGGAATTCAAGATTTTAAGTGTTTTTCATGTGTGTTAGTCCATTAATTTTCCGAAAATTAATAGATTGATTCCATTGATCCCCTAAACTTGGCCACGCTGGGCCTCATAACTCGTATTCATTGCGTTTTCATTAATGATGTTTCTCTCTTCAGTATTTTAATCTCATAAAATAGAAATTCATGATTTTAAACGTTTTTTCATGTGTTGGTCCACAATTTTTTTAAAAATTAGTCGACTGACGCTGTTGACCCCCAAACTTGGCCAGATTGAACCTTGTATGCCTGGTGACAAATACTTCTTGTATTTTCATTAGGAAACTCTTTTATTTGAGGTTATTTTCTTCAATTTCCTTTTTCTGGTAACAATTTTAATAACATTATCTCACAGAATGAGTCTAATTAGTGAAATAAAAAAAAAAGTCTAATTAGTGTCTCTTGAAGCTTTCTATTATTAGGTTACTAATTCAACAATAGAAAAAAAACAAAAAATTAAAAAAAGAACAAAAGCTTTTGCACCTTAGCGCCCGTCTATATATACACAATATAATTTTTTGATGAAAGGCAAATGATATTGCACGTTAGCGTTCATTTTTATATATACAATATAATTTTTCGATGAAAGGTGTTTAATTGATCATCCTTAATATGTGTCTATATGCCATTGTTGTTCCTCCTTTTTAGTATGTCATTAATTCTAAAACACAAATAGGGTCACTTTATAATCTCTTGCTGACTTCGCAGAGTAGGGGCTCTTCCTCTTGCTTGAGCAACAAAAATGTGCTGTCAAAGACGTTCTCTCGGTTTTTTTAGTGGCATATCCATGTTTTAGAAATTCTAGATATGCCTTCGACCATATCATTAGGAATTTGATACTCGTTTTCCTTCTCTCGGTTTTTTAGTGACGCATTCATGTTCTAGAAATTCTAGATTTGCCTTTGACCATATCATTATGAGGTAGAGATATTGTTTCCGAAAGACGTTCGTCACGAGAACAGACGAGCAATCCCACATATGGAGTCTAGAAAGGATAAAGTATACACAAACCTTACTCCTATCTCATGCGAGGAAGGGAGATTATTCTAAAAGACCTCGGCACGAGAAGAAAGTGTTGTGTACAAGTACAACGTGGGAGATCTAAATAGCTCCTTAATTGTTGTCCCACATCGGTTACTAAAACACAAATAGGGCCACTTTATAAGCTCTCAAGTAGATGACTAGTATGCTGAGCTTGGTAACACAAGCTTGTAACTCAAGTGAGGGCATTAAGGTGATGTGAATAAACTAAAAAACCAAAATCGAAGATCCCTTGCCATAAATCTCCATCAAGGCTAAAATGCCGGAATTTGCTTGGGCTTCTCAATCTCCATCAAGGCTACAATGCCGGACTTTGCTTGGGCCTTCTTAGTTTGGACCATCACTTTTTTTTTGTATTTCTTTGGCTATAATTTTGGGTTTATGGGATTTCGGGCTCACAACTTTATAAAGAATTTCAAGTAAAATATATGTTCAAACACAACTTCGAGTTCTAAAAATATAATTTTAAAGAACTCCAATTTCCAATTTCAAGTTCAAAATCTATGATATAAGGGAGTTTAATCTTCTTTTTTTTACTTTACAAGGAAGAAGATTAAGTAAGTCTTACTTTTTTTGTTTTTGGAACATCACTTTTTTTTTTAAAAAAAATAATTAAAAATTCAGATTGGTGTATTTTGGACTTGATACTATGTGGAAAAAAAATCTCTCAATTTAATTAAAGTTGTAGTTATATTATTTGTTTTTTTATTAGGTGTTTTATATTCTCTTTGAATCTCAATTAATTTAGATTCATGTCAGCTCACTTTAGGAGGTAAAAAGCTCCCTGGAAAAATGGATTTCATTCCTAAGATACAAAATTGAGCTGATTTAAGTTAAATATGTAGTAAAAATATGAGAAACCTTATAAAAAACTAACATAGATTGATAACTTTATGAACATTTTTCAATGCAGGTTACAAAAATAAGCAATAAAACACCAAACTTCAATAAGCAAGATGCATGAACTCCGAATCATAGATATGGTGGGAACTTTCTGCGAGAAGAGAGTATTGTGTATAACAACAACATATCCAGTGTAATCCTGGGTCAATGGAGATTAATGTGTACGTGTATCCAAACCTTATATATCTTTATTTCCTGAGAAGTAAAGAGACTTTTTTTGAAAAACCGTTGAACAACATATCTAGTGTAATCCTACATGTGGAATTTAGGGAGGGTAGAGTGTACAGATAAAGAGAGTGCGTGTGTACAAAAGATGCTGCTGGGGCTTGAAGCAGTATTAGTGTAGTAATACTGTGTGTCTTCCATCTTGAAGAGGGGTGGTGAGCATTGCATGAGGAAGAAAGAGTTTGATTTGGTGCATAACCTCTTGCTGACTTCAAAGAGCAGCAGCCTGCTCTGCCTCTTGCTAATTGGGCAACAATAATGATGTTGTTGTCAAAGACTAGTTTACTATGTCTAACCTAGCCCCCTAAAAGCTTCTCATAGTTTGGACCATTACCTTTTTTATTATAGATTACTAACTTGAAAATATTTGAAGATCGAGTACAAGTTTATCTAAATTATCCATAATGATGTCATGTTATATCATTTCATTATTTATTACGAATATATGAATTCATAATTTATATTTAAGATACTCTTTTAGGTTTTTATAATTTATCTGTTATATTTTTTTTATAGGAAAAAGCTTAGTGTCAAAATTATCCCTCTACTTTGTAAAAATGATTATTATTTATTTGTGTTCTTTCATATTATACTTTTGATCGACCATTATCCTCGATATTATAAAACTGGTGCAAGAATACGTACCTCACCTTCGTTAGGGCCTAAATTATATCCCCCGTTTCACTTTTGATCCGTTATATCATTTAAATTATTTTATATTTGGCCAATTATCATTACTTTTGTACGTGGTAACAATACCAACAATTAAAAACAATTGGTATGGAAGATGAAATGATTTAAGTACAATATAACAACATATTATGTAATTTTACAAATGGAGTACGAGGAAAATAATGTATATGCATGCAACCTTACCTCTACCTTGTAAAAGTAGAAAAATTGTTTCCAATTGATCATCAACTCAAATAAAATAATGGATGAAATAATTTACTCAATTAAAAACGTTTATTAGACAAGCCATTTTAGGTAATAATATTTACAAAAGAACATCATTTATAAATGCATATAGAGCATAGGCCGACCATAACTAGGGGCAAATTTACATGCTAAAAAATGGAGCACGTGAATCCGTGGTACGGTTTTTTCGTAAAGATAGATATTTTATGTATATATTTTCTAAAGTTGGTATAATATTATCTATTGACACTCATTTAAAAAAAAGGCTACATAATTGTGTAATTGGTTGGATGTCGAGTTATTTCTCTAGAAGACTACGGATCAATTCCACTTAATACATTTTTTCCTTCTAGATCTCTTTTTCTTTAGAGATGCATCCATGTCCTAAAAATTCTACATTCGCCTCTAACCAAACCTCTGCGTACCATTGTGAGCAGTGGCGGATCCAGAATTTTCATTAAGGGGGTTCGAAAAAAGAGAGCAGTGCTTAAGATTTGAGGTTTGAACCCCTCAACCACTAAGTCAACCTCTAATCTTATATTCAGGAGGT